GAATTTTTTTATTCCTTCTTTGATTTCTTCTATTACCCAGTTGATTTTAAGCAAGGTGTTATTCAGTTTCCATATATTTGATTTTTTTTTCCTTGTTCTTTCTGTTATTATTTTCTACTTTTTTGGTGTTGTGATCAGAGAGAATACTTTGTATTCTTTCAGTGTTTTCCATTTTATTGAGGGTTGCTTTGCAGCCTAAAATGTGGTCTATTCTGGAGAATGTTCCATGTGCATTGGAAAAGATTGTATATTTTGCTGCTGTTGGGTGGAGTGTTCTATATATGTCTATGAGGTCAAGTAGGTTGATTGTGGCCCTTAGATCTTCTGTATCTTTGTTGGGTTTCTTTCTAGATGTTCTGTCCTTTACTGAGAGTGGTGTGTTGAAGTCTCCTACTATTATTGTGGAACTGTCAATTTCTCTTTTCAGTGCTGTTAGAGTTTGTTTTATGTATTTTGGAGCTCTGTCATTGGGTACAGAGATATTTATTAAGGTTATGTCTTCTTGGTGGATTGTCCTTTTAATCATTATATAATGTCCTTCTTTGTCTTTTATGATTGATTTTGCCTTAAAGACTATTTTATCTGAGATTAGTATTGCCGCTCTTGCTCTTTTCTGGTTACTTTTTACTTGACATATTTTTTCCATCCTTAGATTTTTAATATATTTATATCTTTGCATCTAAGATGTGTTTCTTATAGACAGCATATTGATGGGTCTTGTTTTTTTTATCCATTCTGCCACTATCTGTCTCTTTATGGTGCATTTAAGCCACTTACATTCAGTGTGATTATTGATAGGTATGAGTTTATTGCTGTCATATTGTGCTTTTTTTTTGGTGCTGACGTTTTCTTTGTTCCTCTTACTTTTTTGTGCTGAGTTCCTTTTGTTTGTGGATTTTGTTTTCTTTTCTTTCATTATTATAGATTTTGTGCTTACTGAGTCTTTATGCTTTTCTTCTCTTTTATTTTGATGAGCAGGTTTGTTAACTTTCTTTGTGGTTACCTTGAATTTTACCCTTATAGTCCTAAGTTTTAACCAGTCTTTTATTACTTGATATTGCCTTACCTTCATCTCCATTTGAAAGTTCTGTATGTACACTGTTTATTCCTCTTTTTATTGTTTTGAAGTTGTCGTCATTTACAGATTGACTTCTCTGTTTCCCCATTTTAAGTCTCTTAGCTTTGTTCTATTATTGAGAGTTCTTTACCTAGGTTGGTATTCGGCTGATGCTGTCCTGTGTCCTACACTCCAGTTGTTGGATGTTGTTGGTTTGCTAACCGAAGAACTCCTTTTATATTTCTTGTAAAGTTTGGTTTTGTTTTTACAAATTCTCTTGATTTCTGTTTATCTGGAAACATCCTAATTTCACCATCATATCTGAGAGAGAGTTTTGCAGGATATATTGTTCTTGGATGGCAGTTTGTTTTTTTTTTCTTTTAAGGTTTTCTCTATGTCATCCCATTATCTTCTTGCCTGCATAGTTTCTGTCAAGTAATCAGAGCTTAGTCTTATTGTTTCCCCTTTGTATGTGACTTTTCATTTTTCTCAAGCTGCTGTCAGGATTCTTTTTTTGTCTTTGGTTTTGGCAAGTGTGGTTATGATATGTCTTGGTGACTTTTTCTGGGCTGTATCCTATACAGGGTTCGTGGAGCTTCTTGGATGATCATCTTTTTGTCTTTCATGATATTTGTATGTTTTCTTCCAGCAAACCTTCAACAATCTTCTCTGTGTTTTCCATTTTCTCCTCTTGTTCTGGAACTCTGATCACTTGCAAATTTTTGCTCTTGATTGTGTCCCATATAATTCTTACATGTTGTTCATTTTTCTTTAATTTTTTCCTCTGATTTTTCCTAAAACAAAGTGGCATCTGTGGATTCATCTTCAATCTCACTAATTCTGTCTTTCATTGTTTCAGATTTGCTGGTAAAACCTTCTGTGGGGTAGGCCATTTCTGAAATTTTGTTTATCTTTTGGATTTCCAGTTGCTGTTTTTGTATGATTTCTAATTGTTTATTTACTCTGACATTTTGTTCTTGCATTATTTTCCTGTATTTTTCTATTGTTTGTCTGTGTTTTCCTTGATTTTGTCTATGTTTTCGTTGCTTTTGTCTGAGTTTTCCATGATTTTGTCTGTTTTTTCCTTGCTTTTGTCTTTGTTTTCCTTGATCACTTTCCTAATCTCTTGGAGAGCCCTAAATATTAGTCTTTTTAATTCCATATCAGGTTATTTCACTGCCTTTTCTTCTACTAGGATGTTATCTGATTTTTTATTTTAGTAACTGATTTTTTTTTTATTTTGGTCATTTCATGGAGCCATCTTGTCCTGCTTTTTTATGTTTTTATATTGTCTGCTGTCTGCAGGACCTTAAGGTATTATTTTCTTTATATATTGATTGTACGTTCGTTTGTTTCATCTTACCTTTTTGTTTTGTTTTGATATGTCATTGAGGGCAGACCAGGCATGCTGTGCTGCTTGCTCATTTGTGGGCATGATAGTTCTCACCATCTTTTCCAGGTGGGCAGGACAGCAGCGGGCAGGGTGAGCCCACTTTGCTGTACACTAGTTTGACGAGGTTGCTGGGTGGGCCCTGTCTGCCTCTCGATGTTGGTCCAGTGGTATGAAAGCACTCATAGCCCCTTACCAGATGGGATGGAGTGTTGGACAGGGAGTGGTATGGGCTTGCCTCCCACCGTTCATCAGCTAAGCAAGTGGCAGGGTGGAAGGGGTAGTGTGGGCCTGGTGCAGTGGTGGGTCTGAGTGTTAGGGATGCTCTAGCTGAGGTGGTGAGGTAGGGGTCAGGCAGGAAGGGAGAGAGGTAGTGTATGGGGCTAGGTAGGAGGAGAAAGAAAAGAAAAGAGAGAGGAAAAAAAAAAAGAGCAGGCAGCATGGTGGTAGCCAGTGGGTGGGGGCATGGCAGACCGGGGCTGGTGGGAATAGGGAGAAGTGGCATAAATGGTTAGATGGGGGGTGGGGGTGGGGAGAAAAGAAAGAAAGAAAAAGGAAAAAATAAAATAAATGGCTGTGTGGTGGGGGCTGGCAGGTAGGGGCAGGGCAGACCTGTGTCAGCAGTGGGCCAGTGTGTCAGTGGCACTCTATCCAAAGTGGCATGGCAGGGCTGGCAGGAAGGGGTGTGGAGGTGGCATACAGGGCTAGGTGGGACGGATAAAGAAAAATAAGAAAGGAAAAAAGAGAGAAAAGGAAAAAAAATGGCAACATGGTGGAGGCTGATGAATGGGGGTGGGCAGACACAGGGCATTGGTGGGCGAGTACACTGGTGGCTCTCTAGCCATGGCAGCATGGCAAGGACCAGTGTGAAGGGGGGGATGTGACATATCTGGCTAGGTGAGAGGGAGAAAGAAAAAAGAAAAAAAACGGTGGTGCAGAAGGAGCTGGCGGGTGTGGGTGGGGTGGACCTGGCGTTGTAGTGGGCTGGTGGGCCTCTAACTGTGGCAGTGGAGTGGGTGTTGTGGGAAGGGGGTGAAGTGTTGTACAGGATCAGATGGAAGGGAGGAAGAAAAGAAAGAAAGAGGAAAAAAAAAAAAAAAAGCTGTGCAGCGGGAGGGTGCGGGGCAGGTCCAGGAGGTGAGTTTGTATTGTGGACTGTGGTAGTTGGGGGTACTGGTATGGAGGAGATCTTGCTTCTACTCACCAGAAGGGTAAGAGGTAGGAAAGGGTGTTTCTCTGGTGACCGGGCTCTCTGTCTCCTGTTGGGAGCTCCGTTAAATTGTCTTTCTGTACTTGCCATCCAAGGTCGTTGCTGGCTGTGTTCCAAGGTGGCAGCCCTGTGCTGTGTTAGTTGGCAGGGGACCTCCACTCCGTATCGCTCCTTGTTTTCTGTTTTCCATCAGTTTCTTCTTCCATTCAGTGTTTGATCTACTTCTTTATCCTTTCACTTGATGCTTAGGGTTCCAGGACTGACTTTTGTATCTCTTTTACTTAGTTTTTCAGGTCTTTGCTGCAGAGGGACAGCATGGTGCATTTATGCAGGGTGCTATGTTTGGCTCTGCCTCTCCAAAACATTCTTTTAAATAATTGTGTGGCCAAAGATGATGTAAATACTACAATCATACACTATTTGGTAATTAATCATAATGAACACATTACAATAAAAAAACTATAGATTGCCCCCGGACACCCTTTTAGCTCAGTAATGAAGTCGCTCCTGAGGTTCACCATTCAGTCAAAGATTAGACAGCCCCATAAAACAGAACAAGATTAATGGGGCACAACAGTCCAGGGACAAGGACTAGAAGGCATGAGGGGACAGGAAAGCTGGTAATAGGGAACCCAAGATTGAGAAGGGACAGTGTTGACATGTGGGGTTGTTAACCATTGTCATAAAACAGTATGTGTACTAACTGTTTAATGTTGTTCTGTAAACCTTCATTTAAAGTACAATTTAAAAAAAAAAAAACAAAAAAACTATGGGGCATATCCAAACCTCTCAGAGGAGCTTTTTTGTTTCCCTTGATTATTCTTGCTAGAGACTGCTCTGCTTTGAGTTTTGATATTTTAAGTTTAATTCCTTTTATTTGTCAATTTGTCTATCAAGTGCCACGCACTGTGCTTGCTGGAGATACAAATATGTATAAGATTTGGTATTTGCCCTCAAAGAATCTATTCAGTAGAGCCAACCTTTTGGGTTTTCCATGCAGTTCCCTCATTCCCCTTTTTTTGTCTCATCAACTGATCATATACTTGCATTCAGAATAGGCAAGTGTGTAATACCAGGTGTGGACAGAGTTACATGGTTCAACAAAGAGGTTAGCAATCTACAAAATAGATGCCAAGAACACTCTGAAAAATTTAGGTCCTCTTTCCAGAAGCACTGGCCACCATATTCTCATTCTGAACTCAAAGTGTAGAAAAGCCATTGTTCTTGAAAGTCGGCAGGAAAAAGTTCAAACCATTTCCCTCCTCATCCTACACCTCATGAAAGTAAGAAAGGAATGAATTAGGTTTTGCTGTACAAGATTTGAAAGGGTAGGGACCACTTACATTCACTCTTTGGTGTAATTCTGCCTTGGTTTCCTCATCATCCCACAGGTCATCAGGGAGAGAGTTGAAATCAGCTTGCCAATGAGCTACAAAATTTTGCTTGTGATCTGGACGCATTAGAAAGTGCTGGAAGCTTGTTCTGTAAGGCATTAAGAGAAGATGGATCTTACACATCATACCTGCAAAATGTAAAATTCTAACCTTGGTAACTTTACTTACCTAATCTCATATAAGTAAGCAATCACAGTATGCTTGTCTTCTCTCAGATACCTCAGGACTGTTTTGATGGTTTTTATATAGGAACTTTCTATTAGTTTCCAGTAAGGTACTAGAAATGAAGGTATTTCCTGTTCAATGGTAAAGCATAGAAATCGTTATTTCAAACTGAAAATTCTTCTGAATAAGTTAGTCAAAAGAACAAGACTACGCAAGAAGATAAAGACACAACGGCAGTTCCTTAAAGCTTTCTCTGTGAAACTTGTCCCTCCTTTCTTTGCTTCCCCCAGTTAATTCCTATTCCAAGTAATT